AACTTTTGAGAGATATCCGAGCAACTTGTGTAAAAGCCTACCTAGGAGATTGCGCCTTCGGCGCTCATTTTGCAGTAAATCGGTCAAAATTTTTCCTAGATCCGCGCCTGGTCGCTAAGGTGGCCGTTAAGCAATTTACAAGTTTCCACTAAGTCAGAAAAATATTAAAAATTCGATGCAAATATATGAAAATCATATAAGTGCACTGCAGTTGAAGAAACGAATATAGAATCGATCCTCGCAGCTATTAACACTACTAAACTAGTAGTTGAAATGAGGCCTGAAAAAAAAAATAGAGACCCAAACGGGATATAAACCCATGACCTCTGTGATACCGCTGCAGCGCTACCGGTTCAAATCCCGTAGGGGCCTGAATTTTTTTCAGACCTTATTTCAACTACGTAGTTCAGTATTGTTCATAGCTGCGAGGATCGATTCTATATTCGTATATTAAAAATTCTTCAGACGAACATTTTGATAACCATAATTCCCCCAATTCACCTTGGTTAACACACCACTTCCCGCTTTATACAATTCTAAATTAGTCAGGTAAGACTGACATTACCAACAAAAGCCTTCATGCTTGCCTCAGCTCTCTATTTTGACTAATCACTCAGAATAATATGCTAAACTTAAGGTGGATTTTTATGATAACTTTTATAATGAGTATTGAAATAAGATGATTTTCTTTCTTGACCATTTAAAGGATTTTTTCCATGTTTTTAAGCAAATGACATGGCCAATATAAGAGAAGTTATAGGGCAGGATGTTCTAGAAGAATAACACAGTCGGAAATACTACAGTCCCATGTCAGCACCTTGCCAAGGCATTTTGGAAACACTTTGCCAGTGAGAATGGTGTCGTGCATGCAAAACCACTGCACCAGGACTTTTCAATATCAATTTCAATAACCTTGCCATATCAAAGAAAAAAATGACATAATATAGTATAATTTCTTATTTTACAATTGAAGGTTGTACATTTACTTTGATGTTTAAAGAACGTTCAAGGCAAGGAGAAACTCTGATCATTTGCATAATCATAATAATTTTTTAGACAAACTCAAAGTACAGCCTCTTTTTATTTTTCCCTCGGGACACTTACTGAAGTAGTGCTCTAGAACTACCCTTGTAACCACCCTTACCCAAACCTAATACTGTATGCAGCACAAGTTTTGTCAGAGGGGGAGACAGGTAAGTAAAAGCCATACACTTCACCATACAGCTTTATCAGGAGGGGGAGTAGGTAATAGGATTTATAGGATGCAAGGGTAGGCTACATTTAATCATGCACCCAACTCCCTCCCCCCCACCATACTCTATAACCAGTCCATAATTGGTCAGCAGCTGAAGAAAGTAGTACTGATCTATACCATTTTATATTTTTGCTGTCAGTGCTCTCTTAAGCTCTGACTTAGCTACAGCCTCCAAGTGAACTTCATCTGGGCCATCGGCTATCCGCAAACTCCGTGCTTGAGAATAGAAACCAGCAAGTGGAGTATCCTGACAAACGCCTTTTCCTCCATGTATCTGAATAGCTCTGTCGATAACATTACAAGCCATTCGAGGAACAACAATCTTTGCCATGGCAATCTATAAAAATATATATATATATATTATATATTATATCATGTCCAGGATTTTAGAGTCTTATGTGTCCAAATGCTTTGAGATGCTGTAGTCACATTCACTTTTGCAAAGTGAGCTGCCGTAAGTTGTAAAGCAATCATTTTACTTGCCTTATTTCAAGAATTTAAATTTTTTAATCGATTAAACAGGATGCTCTTTGACACACTGTGCCAGACTGAGATACACTGAGAAGGTTATTAAGTGTAATAATTATTGTTGCTTTACATTTACTGTCAATTAAATGTTAAATCATTGTTAATGATATAGAGTCATCATAAAGATAATGAAAGTATAATGCTAGTTTCCATCTGGAGATTGCAAAGCCTTATTTGTGATGCAGAATTTCAGTCAACCTTCTCATAAGCGGACACCTTTATGAATTGGAATGAGTGTCTGTTAATAGAACTGCCTGCCTATGGAAGTTTTAAGCAGACACCAAAGAAAAATAGATGAATGTCCACTTACAGGAGAATATTTCTCCTGTATGTATTAGAATATTTTGTCCACTTACAGGAGAATAGGTTTTCCATTTCGAACTACCAGCCTACTTATCAGATGTCATAGAATAGGTTCAGAAGCATGTTCTGACAATCATCTAACCCAACATTGACTATGCAGACAGCTTGGACCTCAGTGGAATTTTAAAGCTAAGCAACAGGTGTTTAAAAGCATGTGACAAACTATTTAATGACATTGTTACTACACCCAGTCACAACCTTGGACATCTTCTACCGGAAAGACACATCCCAAGATACATAATCTTAGACAGACTCAAGTCTTTGTTTCCCCCCCCCCCCCAAGAGCAAAGACTTGTAAATTTATGAACACCTTTATACCCTCCTCAGTTGGAGTTTACAACGAATCCTGATATATAAATTATGAACTACATTTTCCAATAGATTTAAGAGATATGATGCCCTTTTTTATAACACATATTTAGATCACATAGATTAAATTAGTTTGTAATTCACGTCATCGATGTTATTCAATTTGTATATTTATAAATTTTATTTAAAATTATTATTTAGTGTACATGCAATTCAGCCCTCCAGCTGCAAGTTGCACTTTTTCAATAAACATATCTACACAACATATCTGCATATAACTTTAACATATATACCAAATGTACCAAGTGTGGAAAGTGATTCTTCCCTATGGTTTGCAATTGTCTTTTATAGTCAGTTTATTTTATGCTCTGTTATATATGAGCAACAAACCCTCACAACTTGTGATCAATGAACTAGGTCATTTTATACCCATTTACAACACATATGATAAGCAATGCAAATACACTTGACAATTTTATGCCCATTCTAATGAGTAATCATCTAAGTTCAATTCTCAGCCATCAGCTGCATTTGTGTTGGTTATTCTGAAATAGCTAAAGATTAATTAGTAAGGTAGTAAGTAGTTGCAATAAGATTAAGAGAGAGGGTCACTATGATTTGGGACCTTATCCTTTAGAGTAAAATATCAGTTGCATGTTGAAATTAAGCCACACCTGATTCTTAGCAGCCTTGTTTCCAAGCTTGTCAATGTTATAAGCAGCATTCAAGACTAGCAATCTCGCCTGCTCAATTTCAATCCTAGAAAGAGCAATCTGCTCTTGAACCATCCCCTGAGAAAAAGGTAAATATAGTATAAGTTAATCTTATCATTAAAAATTCAGTTACTGGCTGATTTGGCCACAGAAAATGGTTCAAGGTGTCAAATTTTCAGACCTTTTCTGACAAACGTTTTCCAAATGCCACTCTTTCCAAAGACCGATGGACCATAAGGTCAAGAGATCGCTCTGCCAAACCAATCAAGCGCATACAGTGATGAATACGGCCTGGACCCAAACGACCTTGAGCTATTTCAAATCCCCTTCCTTCACCTAAACATATAAGAGAATAAAATTCCACTAGTATTTGTCACTCTCCCCTTAAACCACTGCAAACTTAGGACCTACTTAAATGAAATGCAGCCTGCTTAATTTAATGTTTCAGTGTAGATTACTGTATCAGAGATCTGGGGTTACTTGATTTAACTCTTGAAGTCACTTTTCTGTTCACACCTTACTCTGTTTAAAAAGTTTTAACTAATGCTTTCATTGAGGACTTTCCCTTTAGTAGAAACAAAGTTATCTGAGAGTGCCACAGGACATCTCTTAACATCTTGCAACCAATTTGTCAATTGGTGGACTTCTACTAAATGACATGAGAGATGAACCCATCCTAATCTAGCACCAATACCAGATTAATATTTGGGTTCTGTTACACATTTTGTAGCTACTATCTCCTATATAGTAGGAGGTAAAACCACACGTCACAGGGATGAGGGTCAGAGGGTAACAATAGAATGCCCAATTTCAACCAATTTTGGCCTGAGGTTTTCCTGATGCTAGTCACTGTTTGTTTTGGAGTATCTTTCTGCTTCAACTTTGGTAAGTTCTGGCTTTTCGATCATAACCCACCACATTATCAGTGATCTCATGGAAATATCTAAGAACTTACGTGAATTATTTCCACTAATTTTCACCTTTAACACAAGCTTTTTACAGTTTATACCTAAAATATTGCAATGTTGTAATAAACGGAACTCTTTGGTTCAATATAAAAAGATTCCATAAATCTACCATGATAAAATGCTTTGATTACATAAAATCTGATGTGAAACACAAGCTGAGGGAACAGTCAAAGTTCATTGGCTGGTTGCTTCAATTCAATTATGTATTTTCCTGCTTTGACATTTTTTCTAGCAATTATTGGGTACATCTCACTTTACAGAGAGGTGAATGCCTTAAAATGGATTATTTTTTGCAAACTTTCAAGAATTTTACTATCTCAACTAATTATTTTGACACAACAAAACAATGCTTTTTTCAGTGCTTGCTATGATGCTATAGAAGACCATCATTGTTTTTCAATGCCCTCTTTTCCCTTTTCCCCTATTTCTTGCTGAAAAATGGAATTAGTGTGATTGACAAAGTATGAAAATTTTGAAGAGTGTTGTCTCTGAGTTAAAAGGGAAAGCATTTCACCTTTACAACCAGTGAATTATGCTCAGTAAAAACTGAAGATATAATTTTTCAGGTCCTTCTGTGACACTACAGAGTACGATGAACATCTCACAATCATTTCACAATAGCCTCTTGCCAACAGGTGATTAAAAAGAAAAATTTTTCGTACAGAAAAATCTAATAGGTGTGATTGGTGCTTCATAGAAACTGAACAAAGATCTTGTCTCAGAGGAGAGAAAGTACTTCACTGTTTTAGTAACCTAAATTATGCTAAGTAGAATTTGTAAAGTGAACAAGGTGGGAAATACAACACCTTGAATTTAACATGTAGTCAAAGTTTTTCATATTAAGTAAACAGAGAAATGAGAAAGTGTGCTAATTGAAAAGGCCTGCTGTACTGTTCTAGCAAGTGATCAACAGCAATGATTAACCTACTGAGTGTTATATGTTATATCTACTATGTTTTCTAACTTTTTTGGGGGGGTGAGGACATGGTGGTGTGTAAGAATAGATCTTCTTCAACACTACCTGCTTAAATCATCATGTAACATCTATTTCTGTTCTTTGCTACATGTATAATAATTGTACCCTATCAGTAGCCACATGCAGTCCTTGATTGACTATTTTTCTTGTTTGCTAGAATTTGGTGGAGATAATGAAAATATAACATTAAAAAAAATTAAAAGTAACCTGTGTATGTACATACCCAATATAATATTGGATACTGGTACATGAACATCTTTGAACTCAATCTCATAGTGGCCATGTGGAGCATCTGGAAAGCAAGGAAACATGACATAATACATGACTCTGATGGTGTGTCCATTTTTTGTGCCTAAGTCTTACTTAAGATAATTATACTTTCCCAGACAAACATGTTAATTTTGGGGACCTTAAGGTAAGTAACTAAGTTTTCCATAGCCTGATTATTCATGCCACATGTAATCCTAAATTATAACGTTTAACCTGAAATAACTGGAAAAGTATGTTCCTATTGACACAATTACAGTTTTTACAGTCCTACAGTTTTGCAATTAACCTAAAGTTTTAATTTCAACTCAACACTGAGTCACGCTGCTTGGTACTTAAAGCAAAGGCCCACTCTCTTTCATCCCTTTGTAATTGAATACCTGCAACAATTCCTTTTGCTGCACTTTGTTTTCTGGAAACAATGGCAGTAAATCACAAGGTCAACTTGACCATAATTCATTCATACCTACAGTATTGTGCAAAAGTAATGCAAACGGAATTTGGCGAAATTTCATTATTTGTTATAACGATCTTTCGTTACAAGAATGGCCTCATTTACATGTTCCATGCAGCCTTTCCCATGAAACATTTAAGGATCTTTCAACCTCTTTTAGCCTGAGGTCAGCCACCCTCCATTACAAGCACACCACAAATGCCATTTTATGCTTAACCTATCGTCACTAGTGTGTCAACTTCACCAACAACTTTGGCCATACCAAGGCGTCCTGCATAGATGCCTCACTCGCCTTTCAAGATCTTGAAGACCTCTTCAGCAGCCTGGGTTTGGAATCATACCCCAGCCAAGGATTGCCATTCCCTCAAAAGAATGGTATTCCTTGGTCAAGTTAACGACACAGTGACAAATTTCCTTGTACATCTTAGCTCATTTGTCATTGGCCAAATTCACCAAGCACCAAAAAAAAAAAAAAAAACCAAAAAAAAAAATTAACCAAGCACCACAAAATTTTATTCATATTCATTTCTTTGCAAGCTTTCCCACATTTCCCCTTGCATTAAGCAAATAGAATCTCCATGCTCAGTCAACTTCCCAAAAAAATTAATCACTTTTCACCCAGCCTGGATCATCTCTCTGATCTACACTGGTGGAAATGTTTCCTTCCAGCATATCATTTGATAAGTTCATCCCCTTGGATCAACAGAAGTACTCATTTTTGTACTGATGTGGGCTTTACTGGTATTGGCTGCCTTTTCAAGAGCCATTTCTTTCACTCTACTTGTCTGCCATTTATTGATTTAGCCTCTCTCTCTATCTTTTTGCTCAAAATGTGGACCATCACAATGTAATACTGACCCTGAAAAGTTTGGAGAAGCCCATGGAGCACATTCCTAATCACAAAGTTCCCCTCACACCATCCATCCATCCATCCTGCTCCCTTTCAATGCCCATCTTAACCTTTGCAACTCCTTCCACCTACAGTATGCTTGTTGTCTGACTGACTGGCAGGCTGGCTGCCTGGCTTCTTCACACTTTTTTGCACAACACATTTGGTCCCTTGTTCATTACATGCCTTTTCCGCATGCACTGCACTTCCTAGAGGCAGTATCACATTCAAAAGTTATGGCACCCTTCTTACCATAATAGAAAGAAAACCTTGACTAGCCTTCCTGTCAAAAGCTTCCTGAATGCTCAATTTTCTCTCTGCTCCTTACTACAGATTGTTCCAGCACCTGACACCTATCCTCTCTTCTCCTTCAATTCCACCTCACAGCAGCTCACCTGCATCATCCTAACTTCTTTCGATCCCCAGGACTACTCAGGGCATGGTCTGCATCATGGCAGCACAATATTTGCCTTTTAGTGTGGCATCCCAGGTGAACTCCTTAAGCTTCAAGGAGACTGGAGATCCGATACCTATAAGTTGTATTTGCCTCTTCCTTTGGCAGCCACACTTGTGCCCTCAAACTTTGTCTTTGAGCACATCCAAGCTTTTTAACTAGGTCAAGTTGTGAGGCCTTTTTCTTATACTCCCTTTGTGCTTATTTCCTGACCCATTTTCTAGCATCCCATCCTTCCCCCTTGCATCTTCCTTCCTTCTATAGTGAATCTTGTCAAGGCCTCTTTGACCTTACTTGGAGGTTTTTCATTTCCTCATTAAAGATTCCCAATCAGATTCACCATCTTGTTTGTTTGTTATGTCGTGCAAGTGTGGTGTGGTGGGGATAATTGATTGTAATGCTAGAGGAATAAATCAGTAAGCCTACATGCTGCCCCTGGCTAACTGTTGAGTGACATTTAGTGAACATTTGATCACTTTGTTTTGTTCATTGCATCATTGCAGTTGTTTCTTGGCCATTGCTCCTGCACCAGGGGCTTTCCTTGAGCCAAACAGATTCACTGTCTTCTTTGCTTGTTGTGTTGTGTAAGTGTGGTGTGGTAAGGGATAATTATGACATAATTCAAAATCTTACACAATTTTTTTTAACAGAATAATAGAAGAACTTTTCCTTTGTGAGGACTGTAAAGCACTAAATAAAGGTATGTATGTCTGTTACAAATTTTTTATAATAAATAGGTACAATCCAATAAGGGCGGTTATTAGAATGGGGTGCTTACTCCATAGGGGCACTTTTAAACAGAAACAAATTTGAGGGGGCACTTTTTTGAGAGGGGTGCTTATTGGAAGGAGGGCACTAAATCCAATCATTACAGTAACTGCTGTAATTTTTCTGTAACGTTGGCCATAAAAGTAAAAGTAAAGTAAAAAAATTACCATTGTAACCAAAGACTGTAAGAGACCTGACTTTGGTTACACCTGGAGTATCTAATGGAACCAACACCATGGTGTGACGCCTATGTCTGGGGAAAGAAAGAAACAGTTCAATTAAGTGAATCTACTGCCTATGTGATATAATCAAAGAAATTTGCTTATTAACAAAAATTAAAACAAAGTCTTACTAAGTGACTATTTAGAACAAAACATCTTATTCCTGCTGAGGCACAACTGAACAGAAATGAATTTCAGATTTTGATGTAATAATAAACAATAAGAACAAAGCTATACAAATTGAGATATTTTGAGTAGATGAGTCTGCAAGGGCTTTGAGAGAATGACAATGATCATCAACAGTTAAAAATAAATCTAAATAAACAGTAGCTGTTTAAGTATCCAAAAGTTTGTTGAAACTCTCCAAAAAGAGTGTCAAAGACAATACAGTATTGCTAATGGAGACAAAAATGAAACTATCCAAAAAAAACACAGGAAAATATGTAAGTCAATACTAACATCAAACATATGAATTTAATGCCTATTTAAAAAAGTCTTCAATGAGTATTGAAAAAAGGTTCAATCAACCTCAATTCAAGCTTGAATTTAAAAGAGGACACAGTCTGTATGTTTTAAGGTAATGACAAAGATTATTCCAATCCTCCTCTCACTGAATCTCTGTCCCCTAGCCATACAAGGGGATGTTCAAAGGCTTGAAATAATGCATAGTGAGATTAGATATGTTTATATGTGCTTTAAGTTCATTGGAAAGGCAATTATGATCAAATGTTGTATATTATGCAAATTCCATTGCAGCTCGTACAATTATACTCAATGGTGATGTTGCTGTAAATCTAAGGCAAATGGAAAGTATGGAAAGCCAAAGTGCACTGCAAAATAAACACGAGCAAGCAAGAGTGAAATCAGACTGGCTGATTAGTTTAAATTGCCAGAGCCTGCTCCCAAATATTGAAGAAATGAGACTCATCTTTACTTATAATCACCCCTCTATTATTGCTGTCACAGAGACATGGCTAAACAACACCATCTCCGATGACAAAATTCACATTCAAGGATACAGAGTAATTCAGAAGGATCAGTTGGTGCATGGCAGTGGTGGCTGCACTCTATATGTTACTGATGGTTTTAATTTCAAACATTGTCTTGAACTTGAGGATCATGACTTTGAAGCAATTTGGATTGAGGGGAAGATAAATAAAACCAAGTATGTCATTGGGTGCGTCTACAGAGCCCCAGATGCTCCTGTGGATGATTTCTTTAATTATCTCAATGATGTTGTCTGAATAGAAACTTGGTCTGGGAAAGAGGTGATAATTACTGGTTATCTAAATTGCAATTGTTTAAATAACACCTTGCAACAAATGGGGAGAATGGAAGAGTTTCTGATGGCAAATGTACTGACACAATTGATAACAGAGCCCACCAGAGTGACAAGTTCGACCTGTTCCCTAATTGAAGTACTTATAACATCAACCCCTGATTCATTTAAATTAGCTGGTGTTCTTTCTACCTCATTTAGTGACCATTTACCTATTTTTGGAGTCCTAAACGTGCCAACTGTTAGACCTACAGAACATTGATATCTTTCAATGCATTCCATTAAGCCCCAAAATGCTGTGAAGTTTAATGCTAACTGTGACAATTATTGACCTACTTCAGTATTGCCCTGGGTTTCTAAGATCATGGAGTCTTTTGTGAACATAGAATTACAGAATTTTGCTCATGAGGTTGGTCTCATAGAACAGCATCAATTTGCATGTTCAAAGTTTTCTTCAACAACAGTGGCTCGACTCAAAGTAGTGGATTTATGGAAATTTGCCATTGACAGTGGTCTTAAGTCAGTTTGCATTTTCCTAGACTTAACAAAATCATTTGATGTCATTAAGCACGGCATCCTGCTTGCCATACTTGAATCTTATGGAATAAAAGAGAACACACTCCAGTGGTTTAAGAGCTACCTCTCAGGAAGATCGCAATGTGTTGTATGTAAAGACTCTGCTTCAGAACTTCAGAATCTTCAGAGTGCCATAAGGGTTGATCTTGGGACCAACATTGTTCAATATCCATATGAACGACATATCTAAAGCATATCAAGATTCAGAAATTGCACTTTATGGAAACAACACAGAGATGCATTCCAGTTCCAAAGATGTTGCTGTGGCTGTGGACAAGATTAATGATGATCTCAAAAGGATAAACAAATGGTTCTGCGACAACGGTCTCATTTGCAACACAAAAAAGACGGAAACAATGGTGATTGCTTCACAGAAGGCCGTCAAAACCACCAGACACCTAAATATATTCTACGGTGATTCAACTCTAAACCAGAAGAGATCTTTTAAGCACCTTGGTGTGATAGCAGATGAATCATTATCTTGGAACAGTCACATATCTTACATAGCGTCCAGAGTCTACCCTACAGTTAAATTGTTAAACAGATTTTTGTCTTTTTTGGGCCCAGCTGTCCTTTTTGAAGATATATAAAGTGACAATTTTACCTATTTAAGATTACGGTTCTACCATATGGGGATCCTGCACCAGGAAGAAATCTGATTTTTTAGAATGGTTACAGAATAAAGCTTTTAGAATAATCTTAAGGACAAACCTTCTGACTTGCACTCAAAGGATAAGAGACAAATTAGGACTTCTTACATTATCCAGCAGGCGACAATATATGTGTCTTCAGCTAGTGTTTAAAATTGTTAATAACCATGATTGTCCCATGCAACTTCAGAGTTACATGAATTTCAGATCAGAACTTTGTGGAGGTACCCAAGAAATTCACTTGCCTAAAGTAAAATCTGCTATAGGCCAGTCTACATTTAAATTTCCAGCAGGAAAAAAATGGAGCACTTAACTAAAGATCGAATTGTGGGCTAGACTTACATTTATGAACTTTTATGTAAAAAACATTTCACTATTTGTTAGAGCAAGACAGAATACAGCAAAAATGTAGCATATAGTTTTTCTCAACTTTTTCTTTACATATAAATATATATATATATATATATATATATATATATATATATATATATATTATATATACATAGCTGTTAACAGCTGTGACCAAATCTTGCCTTTTGGTTTTTAATATCTTTTTATTGCTAACACTAATTTGAAATATCAACTGCACATAGGTTAATATCAGCTAATCTATTTTTGCCGAATAAATAGTTAATATTATCATTATTATTACTATTATTATTATTATTATTATATGTGCATCAAAGTTTTGAACCAATTACAGTTTGGCCACATTTTTCCTGAAGTGTTGGAGAACATGGGTAAGGCCAAGTCAAGGCTTAGACCCTCAGGGTAACTGAAAGTTCCTTCTCCTCACAAGGTTGCTCCCCTCAGCCTTTGTAAGTTCCTCCCTTAAAGAAGACAAGTCTACCCCAACCTTTAACGGTTCACCCCCCAAATATCAAATGTTGTTTCCTTATGGCACAAAATATTGCTTCTCAGTCAAAATAATACATTTTTCAGTCAAAATGCTTCTTTTTTTTTCCAAATCAAACACTTGACTAAAAAAGCATGCTAAGTCACAGTGAAACACTGAGCTCCACAAAGCACAAATACCAGTATCAAACTACGACATACATACGGTGGTCATTCATTGTCTGAGAATATTTGCCACACACTGAAGGAGCCTGAGTGTTTAGTTTGCTCTTGAAGTAGATCGTGATTTTTGTTGGGAACATAAGCAGGAAATAGTTAGCAAAAAAACCACAGTAATGTAGTAGATTTGTATAACTTGTGTAGGAGTTTTCCGCCATTTAGTAGCATGCCAAAAAGTTTACCTCTTGATTGAACTGTGCTATGATTTCACTGTAAATTGCATGTTGATCCAAAAGCAGTATGACTTTGTAAGAAAATTAGTACATTCGGCTGTTTGGATATGAGTTGAAAGGTTTAGGGTAAACTAGTAAAAGCAGGGGAAAACTTTTTTTTTCTACAGGGGAGTGACTAGCAAAGGGTGTAGGGGAGCAAACTTTGAATTGAGCAAAAGCTCCATAAAACAGACCAACATTGCCCTGACATCTTTACCTACCCAGATGGTGGGGTAAGTTCTGTTCAGCAGAATCCCTGTCTCTGGAGTGAAATTCTTGATGATATTAAATAATATTATTATAATTATTTTAACCTGTATATCAATTTCTGGCTGCTATTTTTTCCCTTCTTTGACAAAAGAAGTGTATCAGCCACGATTTTACCTCTAAATATCTCTTTGAGCTATATTTCCTTGATTATTTGATATTATCTTTTAGAATAATAAACCTGCAGCACTTAATTAATTGGAGCTGAAGACTCACCAAGATATTTTACCATGCTATCAGATCATTTCACATATGCATCAATTATACATAACCTGAGTAGTTTACTCACAACAGTATTGTGCAAAAGTAATTCAGCAGGAATTGTGGTACACCCACAACATTTGAGCAATATTTTAGTTGAAAAAATATATCAGCATATATCATAGGGCTATTGTTCTAACAGCTGTGATAAATTGCTGACATATCATTGAGCTCCTCATGAACTATCATTTACAGTAAGCGACATATTGTTTAAGCTGTACAATATATCACGTAGAGTGTAAACTATGTCAATTGAACTTGGTAAGTTAACACACTTTAACTCTTGTATCCTGTACTCAACCTTAAACTCACAATGACAAACAGGAATTTTTATTAATTTGAATGTTTACCAGTGAAAGTAGTGAGAGATCCCATGCTTTTTAGAAACAAAAAGTTCATTTTACTTAATAGATAAAATGTGTCATTATTCAGAAAATGCAGTTTGTGTTATGTGTGTTAGAGAACTGTTATGCATTCAGTATTGTATCAACTTTCTTGCAGTATTGTGATTTAAACAGGTATGCAGTGAAGTTAATTGTTAGTAGCAGGCTGGGTATACTGATGTAGCAAACTTGATGTTCAAGGTAGCCAACAAGGTGCCAGCTCCATAGGAGCAAACTCCAAATTTAGGAAAACCAGCAGTTACCATAATGCAACGAGAGAAAGGCAGATCTCATAAAAACAGTACTTTGAAAAGAAATTAAAATTTCTGCTGAATCTGAGCAGAATCTCATAGAAATGTTAGGAAGCCTTTTTTTCAAGGTCTTTTCCTATCAGTGCCACAGCATAGAAGAAACAAACCAATGTGTGATACATGTTAAGTAAGCATAGGAAAACGACACCAGCTTCTGAGGGAAATAAAAAGGAAAAACATGTAAATTAGACTGCTCAGCTGTTTTAATCTTTGTTCTTTATGTACTTGTCATTTAACCATAGGGTGCTGTGATTGATGCTTCAATAAAATCATTTGGTTACAACCTATCATTGTTGATTGATATGTTCAAACTAAATATTTCCCTTGAATAAAAGGGGTAAGTTTCTAAAGAAACTGAGCTGTTGTGTCAGTGGGAGAGTATAACAGGGTAATTTAGTGTTATCACCTGAGTTGAAATTGTAAATGGGCCACTGTAAAGAGTTTTAAGTCTGATGTTTCAAGCATTAGCCCTTCCTCAGAACAATTGGAGGAATTGTGGGTTGAGTGTGGGTTTATATGCAGAAAATGGAGCTATGCTATTGGTGGGAATATGGTGATGAGAGAACAAGAATAAATTACTAGAATGAAAAGCATTTGTTGATACCATGGGGATTAAGAGTGCCTATTTAGAAGATAGTTATTTGTTCTAGAGTTTCGCAGCTTTCCGAACTACTTAGGTTTAGGGAAAGGCCACAAACTGTCAGAATGATTAGAGATATTGAGTGTCTAGTGACTGGTTTGGATGCATCCTTGACATTTCTATCTATGTTGTGAAGGTGTTCTCAGAAGCGGTCACCTAGTCACATGCCTGTTTTACCAATGTATGACTTTTTGCAATACATACAAGTTATGTAGTAAATGACATTGGCCTTTAAACTCTTTACAGTGGCCAATTTACAATTTCACCTCAGTTGATAACACTAAATTACCCTGTAAATATTTCCCTTGTTGCCAGCCATGTTTCAAATATAATGATGTAACAAAGTTCAACTCGTTACCTTTCCAAACAAGTTATTGAAGTGATTTTAGTATGATTATCTATTGACTGCAATCACTTGCTACTTTTGCCGAGGCAATGAGAGCACAGAAGGAAATTGTTTATCGCACATTATGCTAAGTGGGGGAAAAATTTCACTTGCACAAGAAATCATGTACCAGGCACTCTACTGTACATCATTGTAGAGATATATCCTCAGGACAATATACAATATATGTATTGTTATGATGATTTATAATTGGAATGAGATATCTTAGGAAAGCTCTAATATGTTGTTGATTTATTGTTCTGAAGTGACAATAGAATGCATGATAAATTGCTGATATAATGCCAATATATCACAAGAACAAAGCACGATATTTGACGACTATCATTTGCATTACTTTTGCATAGTGCTGTACATGTACATGTATATTGGAACGAGATATTGCAGGAAAACTCTGATATCTCCTCAATTTATTGTTATGGAGTGTCAATAAAGTGCAATATTTGACAATAATCATTTGTATTACTTTTGCATAGTGTGGTACATGTACATGTATACTAGAACAAAACATCACAGGAAAGTTCTTATATCTTGTTGATACATTTATTCTTGTAGCTTAGTTCCTCTAACTCTCTCTCTTGACCCACCATAAGCTATGCAATTCTCTGGCAATGCCTTTTTTGCAAGGGAGGGGGAGGTAGTTTTCTCAAGAAGAACAGTAACACAGGCCAGTTTTTGCTGACCTGGTTATCACAGTTTGACCATTGATTCTAACATCTCACAATAAAAAAAGTCTAAGTCTACTGTATAATCTAATAGCTATTGCAGTTTCAAATGAATCAGTGCACTTGCATTAAGGAATCCCTAATATACTGGGATCATGCCATTTAGAAATGAAACCAAAAAACCAAACGTAAGGTAAGAAGTTCTTTTCTAATTCCATGCTTCTAGTTAACTAATTATCCATCGTGGGGAACTACTACTTTCACAAATCCTGTTGTCATTGTGATGGTCTCTATTATGGTCGCTAATAGTTCATCACATCCAACAAACTTACTCCAGCATGAAATGCTTATATGTATGCATAAATGAAATTGTGAATTACCCTGCTCCCAATGAATTCTTAAGTAGTTTGAGTGTTTGGTTTAAGTGCTAGTGAAGCATTAATGTATATTATAGTTTGGCTGGTTATCAAATTGTTTAATTATTAAGATTTCTTTGAGAAGTTGAAATCTTCTTTCAAACCATGTGCATAGTGTGGGCATATTTGGAACTTTTTTGGAGAAAGCAAAGTGCAATCGCACATTTTAGTAGAATTTTTGAAAAAGGTTTATCAAAAGCGACCTTTAGGAAAAATGAAGAAAGACAGATTCTCCTTATTTATTGTTAGTGGCTCTTGAAAATCAAACAATTTCACACACAGTTTCCAAGAGGAAACTCATCCTTTGAGACTTAGACTCCTAGAAAAAGTAAATTTCACAGATTTCATGAAAGAAGAGTAATAGATGCCTTGTAATGATCATTTAGCCAGCCATAGTGCATTTCATTAATATGTGTTTTCCTGATGTTTTCCTCTTTTCTTTTTCAGCACTCTACCTATCTTTTAAAATTATTTTGAGTTGGGGAAGACAAAAGTGTAAATAGAAGTTTCGATATACCATGGCTTTCTATATCAAAGCTTAACATGATCTTAGTGCAAGTTTAGAAGAAAATTAACATTCAATACATCAGTCATTTTTTCCTGAGAATTCTTACTCTCAAATAACTCACTGAATGTTTCCTGTTGCAATAAGTAATAATCCAGGCACCTTCAGTAAAAATTTTACAATAAAAAGTTAAATAACCCTTATACCTCCCAACTTTACAATAATAATTTAAAATCCTTATAGTCATTTTACAAACTTTAATAAAAACACAACTGAGGAGCTTACTTTGATAGACCAGGAGCTTTACTAGTTCCCATCACAATGGCTATCTTGCAACGTGGGTCCCCTGCCCCTAAAAACAAAACCATTCATACATCAATGCAAATCTAGTGGAGTGACTTAAAAGAATGAAATCATGCTCTTTACCACTACTCCACCACTTTGTTCCATTGATAACAATTTCACTTCCAAGTCTGGTAATCGTGCACTCCATGTTTGTTGCATCAGACGAAGCCACACTTGGTTCTGAAATATTATAAAAGTAAGAGTAGCCACTAAGTCAAGTAACTTAAACATTTACATACATGCATGCATACATACATACACCAAAACAAAACTACTGGTTTATTGAGTGAGTATACTTAAGGATTAAAGAGAAACAATTACAGGCTAGTTTTCAATAGAATAAATAACTATATATATAACAATAGAAATGTTTACCAATAAAATTACTACATACACAGTCTTAAAATTTTAACAGAAAACATTAAAAAAGACAAATAGAGATCTTCATGTCACAGTAGAATAGCTTTTAAAAATGTGATCACGATATACCTAAGAATTCTAATTTTCTGGCACTGCTTTTAAAAGCCTTCAAGGATTGCACTGTTCTTATTTTGTCTGGTGTTGCATTCCATAATTTTGGCCTAATGAACATCCAGGATTTTCAGCTAGAAGTCAATGTATTAGTCTTTGACTGCTATAAGATATCAGCACCTCTCAGGTTGTATTGTTTCTTGGTTTGTACAATTGTTTCTGTGTCAAGCAGTTTTCTAATGCTTTTTGGTGTTCATAATCACTAGCATGATAGATATTACAGATTATTTTTCCAAAACATTGACTTTCAAGTTATGCAGGGTTACTCTGTTGAGCAGTTGACAACAAAAGATAAAGTCTCTACTCAAGCAAAGAGGTCCTCTCCAGCCAGAGCTCATCCAAGTTTCCATAGCATTAAGCAACTTGGAGCATCACCAGCACCACCTGGATGGGATGCTAGTCCATTGCAAGGTTATTGCCAGCATTTCTTTAGGCTTCCTTAACAATTTGCCAATACCCATTTACACTCCTGGATGGACAGAGGCACTGAGAGAGTAAAGTGCTTTGCCTAAGAACACAACACGTTGATGTGCCGAGCCCTGACCACTCAACCCAGAGTCAGTGCACTAAACATTGGGCCAATGCATCTCCCACCACCTCTCCCACTGTAGTTGACGTGCTATATTGGTATAAAATATGAGTTTGCCAAACAGAGGGATTAATTAAAGAACTTTCTCAGAATCTTTCCTACACTAGTCAAAAAACTTATTTTTCCTTAGAGCTATCCCACATGACAGACATTTGCACCCTACAAATTTACATTTAGTTTTACCAATAGATACCTTAGCTAAAGCTACTTATAAATTTTAATGCACTATAGTAAGGAAATGTAAAATGAAGTGTTACCATTGTCATGGTTGAAGTTAGACATAATAGGCCATTGTACAGTTGTGTACTTAGCTGCCAAGCCTTTGATTTGGAGTGAGGATGAAAGTGACCTTGTTGTGATAGAGACCAGTATCTAGATAGCATGATAACAAAGTAATTTGCATTTGAAAAGCAGCAAGGTTTGTATCATAAGAAGGTCACCCTTAGCCTCATTCCTCTTCAAAGGCTTGGCAACCAAGCACACAACTGTAAAATGGACTATTAGTTTAAATAATGAAATGAAACTAAGTTTTCAATAACTCAATACTTTCCCTTTATGCAGAGGACAGAGTTATAGGAATGAAATATATTACCTGTCATACAAAATGCTGACCTCACAGTCCCTTTCAGAAGAGGTTCAAGCCAGGCCTTCTTTTGCTCAGTTGTACCATATAAATGAAGGACCTCCATGTTGCCAGTGTCTGTACAGAAACAGAAAAAAGAGAAACTATTTAACTGAGAGAAGAGTGTAAACATATTCAAAGCCTCTTTGTGTAATCTTAACTTATGTTTAGAGAGAGTAAGCCTGAAAAAATTTCAGACTTTTTCGGTAATACTGTGCAAAAACCTAAGCTACAGACTGTCTAATGAATGAATGTCCACGATAACATCGGAACATAACTAACACAGGTATTGAAAACATGACCAAAGGCTTTTAATTGTAAGTATCCTAGCAGTTCTTGCAGTGAACACAAGAAATATGAGGAACCTTTTGTCCATTAGGATTTCATATGTATAATATGTAATACATAAACCCTTAAAACCATTTCAAAAACCTTGAAATTTGAAAATGTATGTCAAGTAAATAAACCTTTTCTTTTAATTGTCACCAAAAAGGTTATTCTAACAGCCACTATTGTACTTTCCTTTTGACAAACTTATTGTCCCTATAATTTATTCTGTCTTCACCTTTTCCATGGGAAAAGAAAAGGTGTATATATTCCACATTTATTTTGAAATAGCAATGTTTTTGAAAAAGAATGTATAACAAAAATTACAAATCAAGTGTACCCATTCACAGAGAAGCCTTACCCTTAATTTTGAATGCTGCATGGCTATCACAAGTTAAACTGAGATATACATTTGTATAAACATCATTGAAACTTCATCATTTTCCCCTGTAAAAATTTGTCTTTCACTGCTTGGTTGTTGGAGTATTAAGCCATTTTATATACCACAAATCTTCCCAAATGATTGACAACAACAACTTTTTCAGTTACCTAATAAATTATTATTTCAAGCAACCATTCTATGATTTTAGGTTGCCAAATTGCTATTTAACAAAAGTGAGCTTAGAGTCCTGAATAGTATTGTTTTTGTTATAGATCTCTTATGTATATGCAGACAACTGCTTTCTTTACAAAACTACCACAAGTTTTCAATGTTTTCAATTGAAGATATGTTTCATGGTTACTCAATCTCATCATCAAAGTGATTTATAAAATGGCTTGAAATAACATGGCATGAAAGGATGTTTTAGTTTCGAAACACAGAACTTGTGTACTTTTCTGTTATGTTTGTTCTGGTCTATTATTTCTTTGTTGGTTAATGATTATTACCTAATAAGTTTTTTTACTTCAATCAGTTTCATTTAAGCACATGTACCAGATATCATATTTCATATTTCATCGCTATAAGTTGCTGTTGACACCACCAATTTTGTCTGCTATTCACGTACAATCCACTATCAACGATTTATCTACAATCATTAGGAGCTAGACCAAAGTAAGTTTTTTATATATCATTTAAGATATTTCCTTTTTTTTTATACGTACATCGATTTATTTCTTGCTTTCAGTTCACTTTATAACTGCTTCATTGTTAATTAGGCTAGTGTTACATTTCTCAGGGATATTTTCTTAATTAAGTTTCTGCTGCATTTTCTTTTAGTTCAAACCACACAAATTCAGCTACAATGTTACCATCAATCCTAACTAAGCTATCTTCAATCTTATTTTTCCCTCTTCATCTGTGATTTCAAACCTATCTCCTTATTTTTGTTTGAAATTTTGATTATGTACTTCATTTGATTAAACCCCGATTTATATTGTGCGTTCAGATTGTCTTCCCCGCTACACTAGTAACCTTTGAAGGTTACAGGATGGAGGGCCAAATAAATGAACTCTGGTCGATGGAGGCATGTAATTCAATTAACCTGTACCCTTTTAGACACAAACTCTGTCTTTGCACATTTTATAGATATAGATAGATCTGAATAGACTTTTGTAGATCCATATAGATCTATATAAAGCATCTTCTATTAGTAAGTAACCCATGAAGGTACCTGGTGCACTACAGTTGAAGACTTCTGCAGCAAAAGGACATCTTCCTGTAACCTCAGCTAGCATGGCATACTCAAGTTGACTTAAACCTGACACACTTGATAGAAAGAGGTTCCACAAACCTTCCCCTTGAGCTTTTTCCTGAGTGAAAAAAATAGATGATTTTGTTTACAAACCTGGAGAATTTCTTCCAATAAATAGAATCTTTTGCTTTAAAATGCACTAAAATCCCCAAATTTTTCCTTTGATAGAGTTACCCAGATGCCATGGCAACTCTGTTTCTTTCAGTAGTAAGACTAGAGCTAAGCAATTAAAAGTAACTGAAACTACTATCACAGATTTTAAAAAGGTGGAAAATGTTTATGACAGAAAATATCAGCAGGTGTATGATTAAAGAAATTCAAATGACACAGTACCTTCAAATCTTCCATAAATGGAGGGACACTCCACTGGGTCGCTGGATTACTCACATGCTGATAGTAAGACTAACAAAAACATACAGTATAAGTAAAACTAGTTCCTTGTCTGACAAATGAAGGATGGGTTTCTGGACCTTAAAAGGAGCATACAAATGGCAAGTTAATCTTGTTAGCAAAGTAAGATGTGTTGTCAGCTTTTCTATCACTGTGGCAACCTGCTCTTGTTAATGGATTTAGTTCATAAGTTACAGACCCTCCCAGCTTGTCTTATTCTGTTTAAGCAAAACTTTATTGTACTGATCATGACCATCATTTTGCTAAAAAAGGCACCCTCAGTTAGATTGAAAATCGGTCTGCAGTTCATAATGTCAACTCTCTATCTTTGCTTTGAAGGTGGGGTTACATGAAGAGGTCATGTTCTCTTGCATCCTGAGAGGATCAATATGCCATTAAACCAAACTAATATTAGATCAATTGCTCTAGTGATTATAGATGCACATGCTGTTAATGATTGAGGGTTGCATGATATCTTGCCATAATCACCTTGCATAAGGTGATTACAGCAGGAGCCCTGTATTGCTTAGGGTGTAGGGTTAGGGTTAGGGTAGGAACTGATGACTGTGATAAAGAAAGTTCAGTTCTGAAGAGCACAAAAGATGCCACTAGGTTTGGAGTAACAGTTCCCTGAAGAACGATGTAAAGTTTTTGCTGATTGAATAACATGAACCTGTTAAATTCCAGTGAAAACTGGCTCTTTACCTTGGTACAAGTAATCAAAACAACAGAATGGTTTCAACATTACAACAAAATTTGAAAGCACTTATAATTAGGTAGGTAAATATACTACAACAATCATTCACCTCAGGCTCAGTGAATATTGTTGAATAATCCCCCTTGACTTAATCTTGGCAAGGGGATTATTCAACAATTATGATGGTGCTTGATTGTTAAATAGTCTGAGGTTTTTAAAATAACTTTTGAAGCATCACTATATGTTATCATTGTTGGGTTTTGAATCATCTATTCCAATTTTGGCACATTTCTAATGTTTCTTAACATAACCTTTAATTGTAATTATGACTTTTCTTAAGACAAACCTTACAAAAACAGTCTAACCCCAAAATAGTATAAATTGTTTCAAATAAGTTACTCAGTGGTTATTAGTTACTACCTATTACTGGTGCTAGACAATAGTATTCAACCCAGTTCCTTTCTTTTAAAAACAGATGACAAAGATGACAAAAGTCATGTCATGATACATGTTAAAGGTGTGATTTGTACGAATGGTTTATCCACTTACTTCTTCAGCTGGGTACACATACTTTTCCATAAAAGCAATCATTTTTTGATAGAGTCTTTGAGCCTTCAGGGATGGCTGGAAGATGGAGGACACATTCTCCATGTTCAATTTACTTACATGGCTTGCTCTCAAATAAGAAAGAAAAAGCAATATAAGTTGGAAAAGTAGTAAATGTTGACCTTTCATCAAAGAAATACTTTCTTTCAACAATGATTTGGTATAAAACAAAAAATTAATGAACTTCTAAAATTGTCTTCAACAGAAGTTCCCAAAATTGGGTATAAAGATTGCCAATCAAGCTTTGTGGATTACATAGAAACATTGATAATTTAGAGTAAACACAAATTAGTATAAAAGACTGCCAAAAAAATGTGGCATTGATTTAAACATAACTTTCACACATTTGGAAAAAAACTTGAGGAAATAAAGCTTTGTTTTTAAGCATAATAAGAAAGATGGAAAGTTTTGAGCTTGGTAGGAAAATAGATAAAGATGGTTTCCATCTTGTCACAAGCGTGGAACAAAGAAAACATTCTGAGTCCCCATGAGGAATTGAACCCAGGTCATATGAACTTCATATTGGGTCTCGCTCACTATAGAGTCTCTGTGGCTCAGTTTTTTTCTCATATCCCATGATTTGTGCACAAGGTGTGATAAAACATTCTTAGGACTTACTGGGCCTGAAGGGCCACCTTTAGTCCTGCACATGCCAGGGGTTCAACAAGATTTCCAAATAAAGAAGCATCTTCAGCACTTGCATTTCCATGGATGGCCCTTGCATAGATTCCCTGAAGGATACAATTTTTACTATGAATTGTGATATATAAACACAGAATGCAATAGACCAAGTAACAGCTGGTCAACATACCATCTATCACCAAGATCACAATTTGAGATCAAAATATTACGGTACTTCCTAACACCTCCAATAACATAATCCTTTCAAAAAGTAGTTCCCTTGATTAAAGGCTCTTACTCAGAAAAGGTAAAATTATGGGTAGAGTTTTAAAAAGAAGGCCACTTTTGGTGAAATAGGACATTACATGCAATGTTAACTCTACTTTGTCCCTAAGTATCTGAAATAGAGCACAATTTTCCACAATCAATTAGAGTTCAACATGTTTCTTTCCATCTTGTGCAAAGTTATGTTCATAACATATAAATGCTTTCATTCAGATGTAGTAATACTACAGTAATGCTATATTTGCCATAATAAACCATGGTTGTTGACAAATTGAAATGGCCCCTGATAAGTGAACAAGCTCTATCAAGTAGCTACATTTGGTCACTTTCTGAGTGGCTACCTAATAGGCATTTAACTCTAATAAGATTACCTGGGCTATAGCTGCCATTCTAAAAAATGATAATGCAATGTAAAAGTTCCAATGTTCATGGTGAATATCTCCAAGTCCTCTAAATTTACAGTACAAAGAAATAAGATCCTTCTCTGTTGGAATTCCAGGAGCCAAGGACCCTGTAAAGAGAGACAAAAGGCTTTCTAATGCATTGCTTATCCACTCCATGTAGCACCCACTTTGGTTGCCATAACAAGTAAGAAAAAGGTTGGTGACTGAATATACAGTCAAAATTGCATTTCACCTTTAGTGGCAGGCACTCATGAAGCAAGCAATCAAAAGACAAAACAAAAAAACAAAAAACAAACTTTATTCAACTAGAGTAAACACTTAACAGTGATTCAACTGAGAAACTAGTGGCCTTCTATCCTAACAACAGCTGTAGTAATAAGTATATACAGAAACACTATCTACAGGTCTAATTTAGAGAGGAATAAAAAAATTGCAAAAAAAAAAGGAAAAAAAAGAAAAGGTTGGACACCTAAATAAACTCAATATGCATTCAGAGCGAAATGATCCAATTCATTGTATCCTGATAAAAAATGACTATGGGTGGCCTTTCTAAAAAAAGATTGTTAAAGCCCCAGCTTTCTTCAAAGTATTTTGTGGGGAGTTCCATACAGTACTGTGCAAAAGTAATGCAAACACCTGTCGAAGAAATTTGACAAAATTCCTAGCTTTTCAACAAATTCCTGACTGAAACGAAACTTCAACGACACTTCCGCGAATTTTCGAGGCATGTATTGTTTTGAACGGCTTGAACTTTCGGCAACATTTTTCTTGATGGTGTTAATGCGACTTGAAATTTCGAGCGAAAATTTTTTCTATGTGGCGAACATTTTGGGTGATAATTCATTGCAATTCTTCATTCTTTCAAAAAGATTTGGTTGAATTTGTGGTTTGGTACTGCTCTATGTAAAACTCACATGGAATTTTCTGCCACGATTTGAGTCCTTCGCGCAACCTATTTTGTTTGCAATCATGCCAACACTCAGTGTATCAATTGTGTCGATGCATTTGGGATCTTTTATGTACTCTACTTTTGGTAGTCATCATGGCCAAAGTTTCAAATTATTCTACAAAAAAAATCAAGATCTTCCACAAGGAAGGCCTCCACCCAGCCGAAATACTGAAAGCGTTGAAACGCGAAGGGTTACTAGGCACATCATTTGAAAGTTGCGTCTCACCAATTTCGTGACAAATTTGCACTGAAATAGATAGTGGGAGGTTGGCAATACTTTCCTTTAATATCTGTGCAATACATACTCCTCATGGCGCATTGGTGCACCGATAAGACTATATCAGGAGCATGACATCCTGACAGCTTTGCTGTTTCTCCTCTCAACAAGGTGGCCAAGCATTACTAACGAAAGAAGAGTGATCCTTGATTTGAGCTGGCCTTGTGGCTCATCCGTTAACAATGGTATTCCTTCTGGTTACTTTCTTGGAGAGCTTCTGGAATTGAGTTATCCCACCATTGATGCCTTTGTCTTAGCAATTGTTTTTCTCAGTCTGGGTTGTATGCTATACAAGTGTGATCTATGTAAAGTGAACCACCAATTCCCCATTGATCCACATGATTATCATTTACTTGGTTATACATGGAACAGTCAAGTTTACTTTGACACAGTTTTAACCTTGGGCCTCCATTCTACCATGATGGCATGTCAGTGTTCCACTCTTGCAGTTACTTAGATTCTCAACCAGCATGGCCTTAAAACATTTAATTATCTTGAAGGCTATATTGGTGCTTTCCCACCAACTTTGGCAACCTCTCAATTCCACAAGCTTAGAGAGTTGCTGTATCATCTCGGCTTGGAAGAATCTAGTGACAAATCCAGTCAAATCATCCAGCCCAACACACTGCAAACCCCATGAAGAGCTCCCCCAGTCACTCCTGATGTCTTGTGTCAGATTTCTAAGGTTTTAGATTTTGAGAATGATCCTCTCTCATCCACACTGTTTTATGCCATTTTATAAACATTGTTTTTAATGGCACAATTAGCCAATATAGTAACTTGTTCCCATTAGTGCTTCAATAGTTCATGTCATCTTACTTGGAGATGTCACCACAAACCAACATGGGCTGATTGTTACTTTTAAATGCTCTAAGACTATTCATTGTATAAATTGCATATTCCTTTGTTATGTCTGCCAGGCTCTCCTATATGGCCAGTTTCTTGGTCTACCTTATTCTGTTTGCCCAGTCATTACAGTCCCACTATCCTCACTCAAGCTAGTTTTATTGCCTAGTTTTATCCAGCGATTTCTGCTGCTGGTCTCCCAGATGCTTCATTGTTTCTCAGTAATTCTTTTCATTATGGTGTACCCTCTTGGGCCTTTAATCACAGCATACTGGGTGAACTCATACAGACATAGGGAGACTGGGCAAGTGATGCATATAAGGCTTATTTAGAATTTCGTGTTGAATCAAAGCTCACCTTTGCCCATCAGCTTTGTTTTGCTATTCTCTCTACTGCTCCATAGTTTCACAGTGAAAAGTTGCCTTTTTGGGGTGTTCCATATGGTGCAGAGTTATTGGTGGTTTTTTAACTTTTTGTTTGTACGCTTAATAAACTTCTCTGTGCCAAAAAGCAAATTGTGTCTCATTTGTGTCAGGCGGTGTAGTTGGGGAATTTATTTGTCCCTCTTTGGACAAGCACATATTCAAAGGGATTGATTGTACAACACACACCTCTGGCATCAGGCTCTAAGAATTTCATGTTTCATTTCACACCAGTTTTCACTTCAAGCACACACCAGAGATTTTGTATTGTACTATTTCATTTTTCTTCCCACCCACCCTCCAACTCTGGTTAATTTTGTATGATGTCATAAATGACAGAGAGGTTTATCAGGCATATCATGGGCTGTTGTTTACTTTTTGTTCATATTCTTAATAATCTTCTCTCTGTGCTGAAAAGCAAATTGTGTTTTATTTGTGTCAGGGGGCATAGTTAGGGAATTTGGAGTCCACGAATCTTTTGCTGACCATCCCTATGATGAGGTAGGATAACCACAGTGGCAAGATATCCACATTTCAATTGGTGGATATCACACAACTGGGAAGGAAAGCCTACTCATATTGTTTATTCTTCTGTGTAAGCTAAATTCAACTATCTAGTTGCTAAGGAATTATTTAAATAGAAAAGTATACCACCTTTGGTCAGGATGAATGGATCAAACTGAAAACCCTTTTTTAGGCATCCCAGCTTGCATATTTGAATGCTTGTGGCCCTACTAACAATTTACCACTTTTCCAACAGTTTTATCATATGCAAGTTATACTTTTATATACAATTTTCACCAACAAAGTTATAAAAATATAGTTAATTCAAAAAGGGCTCAAGTGCTCAGTTAATGGAAAGATATTTAAACATCTCAAGTTATCTTTAACAATACACAAATGCAACATAAAAGGAGCAATTCAAAGAAAACAACGAGTGGTTACATAAGAGCTACACTGTACCTGTGCCTAATGAAAATGAGGACATGTGTCCAAGTTCCTTTGGCCAATGGTAGGGCAAGCAGCAATAGGCTAGATCAAGTAGTGGATCACCCAGAGTAGAGAGCTCCCAGTCTAACACTGCATTCACACATAACTAAAAAGATGGTCAATAAAATTTATATTTGGTATCTGCAGGTTATTCAAATCTTCTTCTCTTTTTCAGTGTTTGACATTGAAGTGGTTTTATTAAGTCAAAACTAAAGTGAAGAGGACCACTCAACCCTATTTTTAACCTTACAAACAAGGACTAGCATATCAAGAATAGCACTGCAAGTTAGCTTAGATGAAGCAGTGGTGCACCCTAGATATACAACTAGTTTTTGCTGTGATGCAGAAACACTTGAAGAGTCTATAATGCATTCCATGTTATAGCACTTACATGTAGAAAAAAAATTAACCAAAACTTACTCCATGTACTTCAATAAATATAAAAGAATGCAAATTTACCCTTCTACCCTAGGAGTGGAATATTGTTGTGATTAAAATGCAATGACAGTACAAACCTTCCTAGGATCAAAGATCAAATTGTCCAGTCTGAAATCTCCATGAACTAGAACTAAATAAAACAAAACCAACATGACTAAAATAAAATACTTTATTTAGGCAATGGTAATTAAACTCGGTGGAGTGCAATTTGGTCTGAATTCACACACATAATTTGAAATCACAAGTATGATATCAGACAGAGATTGCAAAGACCAGAAAGACATCCAATTCAATAGTACAAACTTTAAGCACCAAAATACAGGATTTTAGGCTTTACAAATACATCAGTGTTCCAGTAAGGAGACTGTTACTAAAATGGATTAACCAAACTGATTCAAACAGTTTAACTGGTCCAACTAGATATAATAGTCCAACAGATAAAAAAAACCATTTAAGCAGAAAAAGTAACCCAACTCATCAAAATAACTTAACCAACTTAAAAAAAGGAGGTTGGTGCAACAAGCTAGAATGGTGTGATAACCTAAAATAGTCCAATCTGTCCAATCAATCAAAAAGACTCAACTACTAAAAGTTATTGCACCAGTTATGATGATACAACCAGATAAAATGGGCAAACTTGAAAAAATGGTACCACTAGTCAACATGATTCAACCAGTGGCAATAGGTGAACTGCAAAAAATGGTCTAGCAGGTAAAAAATGGTGTAAATAAGTAAAATCTTCAACAGGTTAAAATAGTCAGACCACATTTGGTATCTGGGCAACCAAGCTCAATTTATGTTTGCCGTACTTGAATAGCAATTCAAGTACCATTTCAAACCAACCTCAGAGCAAATGTGATCCCAAAATCAAGTACAAACCATACTCGATAGAATATGAGGCAAACCGAGCTCAACAAAAAACTGAGCTCGATAAGATCAGATGGAGTTTGTAGAACTCATCTTTTTAATTGAGTACGATATAGTTGGATCGAGCTCAAATAGAATCAACTGCATTTCGAGCTCGTTGATCCAAGGTTGGTTTGAAATGGTATTTGAATTGCTATTGGACCAAATGTGGTCCAAACAGTCTAACTAAATACATGCCTTTAAAACAATAAATGCCTTGAAAATTTGTGGAGATGTCATCAAAGTTTCATTTCAGTCAAGAATTCATCAAAAAGCTAGCAATTTCATCAAATTTCATCAACAGGTGTTTGCATTACTTTTGCACAATACTGTAAAATGGTCAAAGAGGTTGAACTAGTCTGACTCAGTACAATGTATGTTAGGAGATGCAGCATCTAAACTTTAAGAATTCCCAAACCTGTGTAATGCTTTGTAGAGGTGCCCCATTTTTGAATTTACATTGAAGTGTTTGACCAATACAGCTTACAGTTTTAAGAATAAAAACACACACACAAACTGCGACAATAAAACCCTTAGGCACTGGTCAGGGGATTAACATTAAAGTTAATAGGAACTAATGGAAGGAGCAGGTAGGGGAGTGACATTCCTGGTCCCACTGAAACTCAGAAAATGGCATCATATTCTGAGTAAAAATGGTCTAACTAAGAAATTGGTCCAACAAGTTCCAAGGTTCTAATTCATGAAATAGACTACTTGATGAAAAATTATCTCATCAGTTTGATTGTTCTAATCAGATAAAGTGGTCCAACAAGTTTAAAAGGCCTAACTGTTTGAAAGAGTCCAACTGATTAAAATGACCTAAATGGTTAAAACAGACTTTCCAGACAAACTGGTCAAACCAGCTAAACATCGGCTCACTAGTTAAAATGGCCCAACTGGTCAAGGGTCTAACTAAATAAATGGTCCATTCCAATTAAATGTTCTAATAATACAAACATGGCCCAACCACTAAGAATGGTTCAATTAAACAAAATTATTCAACTCATTAAAGTGGCCTATCCAGATGAAAGAGTCTAACTAGTTAAAAAGGATCAATCTATCTAAATTTCGTAACTACACAAATATGGTCCAACCACTAAGAATGGTCCAACCACCTAAAATGGTCAATGTACATAACTGAATCCAACAAGTGTTAATGGTCTAACTAAATGAAATACTTCAACTGATTGAAATGACTAGGCTGTTAAAATGGTCTAACTAGACAAAATTCCAACCAGATGACACAGTCAAAGAATATAAAATGGCCATAAAATGGCCATAAAATGGCCCTTACTTTATTAACTGGTCCTACCCCAGGAAATGGTCAGACCAGACCTGTAGATAATATGGTCCAACTGGTCAAAGTGACCAAAACAGTAAGCTTTGGTCCACCATGTTCAACTACTGCAAATATAATAACGATCTAACCCAATGAATTAAACCAACTGGTTTAAAGGATACAACTACATCCATACATACATTGGGTGAATGGCTTCAAGTAAACAGCTTGTTTCTTAATACCACCAAGACTGAAGCCATGCTATTTGGAACTCATTCTTAACTGTCCAAACATAAAGACTTTGGTAATTGTGAAGAAGAGCTCCCCAAAAAACCTGTCGGCCGACTGTCGGCCAACAGTTGACCGACAGTCGGCCGACAGTCTACCCACAGGTTAAGAAAAAAGAAAAATTGTGTTAAAAACGAACAGTTAACGTGACATAGCAGGAACAGAACCAGGAGCTGACAGCATTGCTAGAGGAACGCGAGAAAGAGGCTGAAGAGCTAGCCAACCTTGTGCGGAACAAGGACGAGGTCGTTAAAAACCTCGAGAGGCGCCTCGTAGACGCAAAGAAGGTCATCACAGAACTCCGAGTGGAGGCACGACGCAGAGACCAACCCGCGCCACAAGAAGACCCACCCGCATCACAACAGCAACACCAGCAGACGGCAGACATACGTGTCAGCACCCACAGCCTGGCCAACATACACGAACGATATGACCAGGTTCTCCAGACGATGAAAGAGAACAGATGCAGCATGGCCTGTGCCTTCCGTCTTGCAGGCTGTCCTCGGAGCACACTACGAGACTTCGTGGCGATAGCAGAACTGAAAAAGGTGGCCTCGAGGGAACTGGACCTCGTCCTCTGCGACCAAGAAGTTCAATCGGTGCGAGATCTGGAGGTTGCCTGTTGCAAAAGACTTCGGCGCTACATCCCGGTCATGAGCAACATGAGGAGAGAGGGGTAGCTGTTGCCAATGAAGTTTGCGGCACGATTTTACGAGTGAAATATCTTGTATATTTCACCACGCACAAAACGGCTCCTTTAGGAGCCACCAAATCTTGAAAGTCAATTGTCAACGTATTAAACATGTTGGATGTTGTATCAAGCGAGGCACGATTCTACGAGTAAAATATCTTGTATATTTCACCACTCACAAAACGGCTCCTTTAGGAGCCACCAAATCTTGAAAGTCAATTGTCAACGTATTAAACATGTTGGATGTGGTTTTCAAGCGAAAACCGAGAGAAAACATTAAGGTTTGTGTTGACGTTTCACGGACAAGCTACCGACAAGCTACCGACAGGTTACCGACACATTACCAACAATCAGCCGACTGTCGGCTGACTGTCGGCCGACAGGTAGCCTATATTTCAGGCAAAACCTGTCGGCCGACAGTCGACCGACTGTCGGCCGACAGACGGCCAACTGAACCACTGCCATTATCCCCAGCCTCTCCGCGGAACTGCAGAGCATCAAGTCCCAGGGTCATCCACCCCAACTGCTCCCGTTCAGGCAAGATTGCCGAAACTTGAAGTTCAGAAGTTTGGGGGCAACATTGGTGAGTGGCAGGAGTTTTGGGACTCCTTTGAGAGCGCAATTGACAAAAATTTGACTTTGGCCGACATCAACAAATTTTTGTAGTTGCGCGGCCTTCTGGTTGTGTCAGCACAGTCTGCAATAACTGGATTTGCCCTTACATTAGCAAATTATGAAGCAGTGACTGAGCTGCTAAAGAGATGTTATGAAGAAAGGGCAGCCATTCAAAGAATGTACATCAATGACCGAATGAACATAGAGCCCTGATGTTTGCCGACACAAAGAGCAGTTAGAGATAGATGTTCTTATAGGGGCGGATTATCTATGTCTTTCGGACAGGTAATTTCGTCAGGGGAGGTGTGGGTGAGCCGGTAGCCATAGAAACACAGTTAGGATGGGTTGTTTCTGCTCCTTTAGAGTCTAGTCAGTCAACAGAGAGAGTGAGCGGTCAGTGTATATCTTATAGGAAGAGACAGTATAGTTATGGGAAAATTAGAAGAGGACATTAAGGTTCTTTGGGACTTAGAAACATTAGGGATAGCAGAGAGTGACAGAGTGTATGAGGAATTTGTAGACAACATCATGTTTGACGGAAATCGGTATTCCATCAAGCAATAGAAGGAGGGGCATGACATCTTAGATAGTAATTACAAGTTGAGTTTGTCACGTATGAAAGGTCAGGTCAAAAAGCTTAGACAGGAGCCAGAGGTATTGAGAGTACAACTCAGTTATCAAAGTCATAAGAGTGAGACACTCAAATAAACATGCCATAAAATTTTCGTGGTAACAACCGAGTTAATGAACATATTTACCCATAAACAACCCTTAACAATCAAGAGTATAGTTCATTTCTCTGACTATTTTGATACAATGTCAGTGAATGATCACTGAGTGCACCCTTCACAAACAATATAGATTTTTGCTCTCCTGAGGTGGCAATCTTCCATAAGGTTGTGGCTGAAAATGTCAATAAGAAAGTGTTGACACACGAGCTGAACCACTTCAGCAAAAGCAGTGAAGATGGACAAGGCACTGATTACTTGAACATGACCCAATGGTTCCCATCTACTGACTAGGATTGCATAAGGGTTTGGCCCCCAAGAAAGTTGTGAATATCCTCTTCCATCTGCCTCAAGAACTTATTGCTCATGTTGTTCCTTCCACACATAAAGCACTTTAAAAAGGTTCTGGCTGACAACCTTGTTGCATGGAATCCATCTGGGATGAAACAGCAATTTTACCATGCTTCAACCAAGACGAAGCCTATTTGTAACACATCCCAATGAAATTATGATGATCGTGTGGCACAGGTCTACATAAACGTACGAGAGGCTTCTACAAGAATGAATCCTCCCTGATTTGTAGAGGATTTTCATTTATGTAACAGGTAGGACTATTTAAACTG